ATACAGTAATTGTAACAACAAAAAATCCAATGCATGTCAGCATTATACAACTATACATTTTTTATCAATGTAATATCAATATGAATACAACACAATATTCAAAAATTATTTAAAATTTTCTATTTGAATACAATTCTGTAATAAACATTCCTTAAATTTATTTCATATATGATTTAAAAATAATTCATGAATAATCATATATTATTATTGTTGTAATATTTTTAAGCTTTCATATAAAATGAATACATTTTATTAAATTTTGTTTACCAGTAATTTGTATTTTAATACCTCATTATTTGTATCAATACTTTGAATAATTTGATTTATATTGAGTTGAGATGAAAGTTTGTATTTTTCAGTAAATGTCAGAGATTGGTAGTGTGATTTAATTAAAGCTATTGTGATTGTGATATTTAACACATTACTGATAATATTTCATATCAGTGTCATTATACTCTCATTTTGAGTTTCCTTTTAAACATTTTGTTTGGATAAAATCAAAAATCAACAGATAATATGCATATATGCTTTAAGAGTTTTGGATAGATATCACTGTCATACAAAGCAGTCTGGGGTATGGTGCAGTATGAATGACATAAGGTGGAGCTTTTAGAGCCTAATAAAATTATAAATTTCATACTGTTAGCAATTAGATCAAGTAAACAAATGTCTTAAACAAAAATACCCACATCTACCCAACTGGAAAAGAACTGTCTTTCAGCAAAATAATTCATGTCCTATGTTAGTATGACAATGTAACAAAAAAAATAAAACAACTGAATTGGAAAATTTTACATCAACCACTCTATTTACCTAAATTAGTACCTGATTTTCATTTATTCTTGATTATTGTGAAATTATTTAAATCATAAAAAATTTTTAAATGTTCTGAAGTGAAATAGGATATATTATTACTCTTTTAGTCACAACTAAAGACTTTTTTTTAATACAGACAGAACTAATAAACTGAAATGTTGGGAAGAGATCATTTCAAATGAGGGCTAATTGCCTTTATTTTCAATTTTTGACTAAATAAATAGTGTATTTACTCTAATAATCTATATTCTTGAGTAATCTGCACATACTGTTGTTTAAGAAATAATTTAAAAATTTTTTTATAAACATATTTAAAAATTTTTACTAACTTATGGTTGTAACACAGTAGTTATATTCACCCTTGTTGTTTTGACACATTCAATACTTGGCACTCAGTTTACAGGACTATATGATATCAAAAGGAAAAATTACAAAGGAAAAATTACAAAGGAAAAAATTAATTATTTGTATAAATATATTTGATAAAGATAAATTATCTGCATTTGTAGTGATATGTTTTATAATGAATTAGTTTAGTTATTAAATAAAAGTAAGACTTCTTTATGTTGTTTAATTTGAAGGCATAAAACTGCTAAAAGTGTAGGTATAAAAATTATGCAATGTCAATCTCAGTTGTATATTTAACTTACTTTACTTATTCTCATTTTCACAAAATTAGTCATGAAAACGTTTAATAATATTGTTCCTAACTATTGACTATATATTTGACAATCAAACAAACCACTTAGTAATTGGAAGCACCCTGGACTTCATAGATGGCATTACCAGATTTGCTTTAAATATACACATGCTAACTTTTTGTCAAATGTTTTTGTAAAAAAGTGTGCAGATTATTCAAGTAAATATAGTAATTTTTATTTTAAAAATTTATCTTGATTTTTTCCCCAAAATGCAAAATTTTTCCATTCAACCAAATAAAACATACCAGCAGACTGGGGACTACCCTGCTTAAAATAGTCAGCGTGATTACCTACTCTAATAGTAAGCCCTAAATTAGGGCATGTAACTTTCTAGGGTCATTGCTGTGGACTTAAGTGGTCTTAGTATTTAAAGTCAGATTATTATGTGTAAAATATTTTTTTCTTTCATTTACAATAATTTTATGTATTAATTTCTATTGCACTACATTATAGGTTAAAAGCAGAAAATCTAGAGGATACTTACTCTAGCAGTTTCAAGTTTATTTTTCATATTATTATAGTAAATCAATATTGGAAACATTATTCATTAAACTGAAGCCCTGAGAACTGTTCTTGACAGTTGATGGTTTCTGAGTTTCATGTGCTACAGTACTCTCATCAGTAAATGAGTTTAGCTTTATTATTTTTTAATTTAATTCATCATATCCAAAAATTCAAAAATAATATTGAAAGATGAAAATAGAGGATTAAATGGTAATTAGGAATTAAAGTATTATTTTGTTTCTGTGAGAGATAAAATGGCTTGTTTGTGGTTTAATACAGTAATTGTAACAACAAAAAATCCAATGCATGTCAGCATTATACAACTATACATTTTTTATCAATGTAATATCAATATGAATACAACACAATATTCAAAAATTATTTAAAATTTTCTATTTGAATACAATTCTATTCACATTCCATAATGTTTATGATAAAATTATTTTGTAATAATGAAACTACTTGAACACTATTAAATTTAAAATATTTATTTTAATAACTCACATCTTGATTTTATCATCAAAAGGCAATTTTTGATTTGATACTTTTTAAAATAATTTGATTAAAAATATTTTCAAGATAATATTTCTTAATTTATTAAAAATATCTAAAAAATTTGAAATAAAACACAAATGTAAAAACTGAATAAAATAATATTGCAAAAATTATTAATTTGATACTTTTCTTTATCCAAAGCTTTTAGTGATAGTGTTGATCTAAACTTGATATTTATTATAATTATTTTTACTACAGCTTTCATCTAATACAAAAATGAGTGAAGGAGAAAAATTTTACACTAACATCACCAATATATTTTATACTAAGTTATAAATATTAGAAAATAAATTCATTGTTTTTTGTTTCTTACTAGATTAAAAAATTATCTTTTATAGGAAGTATTTATAACTTTAATTCATTCTATGTAATTAAGAAAAAGCATACAATACCAATCTTTAAATTATACATTATGTAGCTTGAATTATTAGCTATAATCAAAGTCTATGAATTACTTTAATACTAATTAATCATAGTAATTTAAAAGGCTTTCAGTTTTATTTTCCATATCCTTATCATTTATTATATTTATTAATTAATCTCAATATTCTCAGATATAGTTATTGTGTATTTTTATTAACATTCACTTTATTCTTTTTCAGTAAAAAAACAACTTTTTTCAAATCAAAAGTTTTAAACTATGGATTTAGAAAATTATAAATAAAATATTGCCATTCAATTAAATTTTTCTCATTCTATAATTTAGTCCTTCAAACTTTTGGTCAATATTCTGATACCATTAAAAATTAAGAGTTTTGGTGGATACTCTATCAGTTAGCTATTCAGTTTTAAATATAGTTTTTGAAGCTGCCATTATTCCTATATTGACAGTTTAATTATTCGTTTTATGAAATCATGTTTTCGTATTTATTAACTATTGAACACAAAGCTGTGTAATTATTAAAACACTTGGCGTTTTCCTCTTTATTCAAGTGTTTTAATAATAACACAGCTTTGTGTTCAATAGTTAATAAGTTTAATTATATTTTTCAAATAACTTAATACTTTATAATATCTTGGATTTTATTGGAGAGAAATTTTATCAGATTTAGGATATATCTTCAATTGAGTTCTCTCAATGCATTCTCTCAATTCATCTTTTAAATGAAAAAATTTTTCAAATCCATTAATAAACAAAGCGATAATTACAAATACATTGCACTAACCTTGTATAGCCTTGCAGTTACTACTTAGAATGTATCACAAACATTTCGACCCATTTGGGTAGAAAATGTTTGTGATATGTTTGTATGCGACGCGTGAAAAAATTTTTCTTTATTTAAAAGATTTCACTTAATAGACTTCATTTCATATAATAGTGTTTCACTAATTATTGATATTCTGTTTTTAAACTTTTGATGTAAAAGTTATAATCAATCTGACTTCATATAAAGTTATGTTCTTTCATATTATTTTTAAATATGAACAGTCTAGTGACATTTATATTTATGAGATTATCTAATGTTTTTACACTTTCATGATGTGATTTTATGTTATTAAACCTTAATAAATGATACTATTTTCTTATTTTTATTCCACCTGCTACAATTGCATTCTTGTCAGTAAATAATTATAAATGAATTTTTCTACAGTATTTCAATCTGCAAATGTATTTAAATTTGAAGTATTATTAGTTTTTGTTGTGCAAACTAATAATAGATAAACTTTCTAATATTATTGCTGGTAATAAAAAGTCAAAGAACTTAATCATAAAAATCAATAATGAGAAATAAATAGTCATTACTGTTGCATATATTTCAAAAATTAAAATTATTTTTTAATTATTATATTGACATAGTATTCAAATATGTTCTAATTTATTAAGAGATATAAAAAAATCCAGCAACATGTTGCTTAACTTTCTTGGCAACATTTGATGGCACCATATTTTATTGAAAAACTTTTTATATTTTTAACTATTATAATATAGCAAAAAGATTGTAGAGTGTAGCAAAAATTTTCAGAGTAGGGATGGGTTTTATAAAAAATTGTAAATGCTCATAACAAGTAAAATCATCATTAAGTCAGATCCTACTCAAGATACACATGACCTCCTTTATCTCCCCACCCCTAGACATTTAATCACCAAAATTTAATAGTATCAATCCCCTTAAACAAACCTCCCTGCAAAATTTCAGAAATTTTTGACAAAAAAGCACAGGGGTTATTTACGCTTCAAATGGTAAACAAAATTGTCCCCCACACATGCACACTAACATCTATACATAAAGAAAAAAAAAACCCCAAATGTTTTGCATTTCTTGACGTTTCAAGGTCCTGCGTCCAAAAATGTAAAAATATGTAAATGGTGATTTTTTGACTGATTGCCATACTATCCCTCTGTTATGTATAAGAGCTGGGAAAGTAAAATTCTATTTTAAGTTTTAATATTTCTAAGATTTTTACAATAATTTTAATATTTACCAGAACTGGGTGAAGATCAACTCCATACATATCTAACCATTTCACACGATCAAGAAAATTCATTTCAGCAACTGCTGGTACTTGACCTCTGTTTAAAATGTAAAATATAATAATTTAGTGAGATATAATTTAAAAATTAAAATATTAAAGTAAAATATAATATAATTAAATTAATAATAATCACTTGTCATAATTAATAATAAAGCAATTGTATAATTTCAAACCTGAAGCAGGTTTATAAAATAAACTGAAAATGTTTGTTATACAACTCTGTGCTGGAGAATTATGTAAGATGTTGATTTTCTTATTAATAATAAAGCAATAAATTTGTTTTTAGAATTCTTTATGAAATTTTTATATTTTATCCATTGTATGTTATATGACTGCAAGTTTTGAAAAAGCATTGAAATTACTCTTCTGTTTCAAATACTTCAAATAAANTGTTCCGCGACGAAAACAATGTTGAGCAATGGCAATGTCGAATGGTGACACTCGGTAAGTAATCCTACAATTTTTTGTTTATAGCGTAGTTTATACGGATTATTCCCAAAAAATATATACGTATTTTGGAAATGTTGAGTCGGATTAGTCTAGAATCGATTAATTTTATGGAAGAAAATCTTTCAAACAGCCGTAGTCCGTAAACTTGATACGTGTCGGGTTGTGATTGGAAGGATTCGTAAGAAAGCGGATTCCTAGAGAATGGAACGTATCTCTATCTTATAGGGGGGTCGACTGTAATTGTAATATAAATAATAAAAAGTTAAAATATTAGATTACGAAAAATACTTTCCACAGAAAATTCAAAGAAAATTTTTCACAAATTACAAAAACACAAAATAAATAAAGCTGTTGGCCAGTTCTGCAGGTGCTTGAGTGATGTAATGTACAGAAAGCTAAAATCTAGTTAAAAATCTAAAGAATTTAAAGAAATTTAAATTAGCTCCAGAGACTGTTAAAGTAAGATGCTAATGTACTGGTACCTAGAATTAGGAAGATGATGTTAAAGTGTTTTGTACATGCAAAGTAAGTAATCTAACCAAATTTCTTAAAAATTTATCTTCAGTTTTTAATTTTTGCTTATAGAACTGCCTTAACATTCTGGATTTTAAATTTTATCTCATGGGAATTTTAAATAGAAATTTTTAAAAACTTTAAGTGATTTTAAATTGTATTAGATGCTTGCTTTTAGATTTTTTTGACTTTATTACGGTCAATACAATGTTAAATATAAATGGTAAACATTTATAATAGTATTAATAATTAATTTAAAAGAAAAAAGTATAGAAATTGATAACTAAAGAAAAGTGCTACAGATACTTGAAATGCACATCATAAAAATGTAATAATCTTGTTGCATAAAGTCAAGTATTGGTCTTTTATAAGAACAAAGAAAGATATTTAAAACAAAAAAAAAAAAACTAAATTTTCTTCTTTTTTGAGTTAAAATTTACATACGTAATTGCATCTGGATTTCTTCCAAAGTAAATCAATGTGTTTCACTTTTTCCTGTTTAATATAACAAAAAAAAAAAAACTAAAACAATTTTAGAAAATTTAAAAAATATTCTTTTGAGAACATCCTGTTCTATACAATGTAGTTTATAGTTGAATTCTATNGGTTAACATAGCGACTGAATATGATCCTCTCTCTCGTCGCGTTTTCCTCAAATTTCTCCGTTTCCATTGTTTAACACATTTATGAAAAATACAATTGCATTGTTCAATCGAGACACCTAATCCGTTTCCTTATCGTCTGAAAAGGAGCTCTTTATTTTTGATCGAACCCATAATTCGGACCTCTCAGTCGCCCCCTGTTCGTGTCCTCACATCTTCGCATTGCAAAATGACATTGCACATGCGTCAGGAACTTCTGTTCAAATAAACCTCACCTGCCGTCCAGGTCAGCGATTTTGAAAAGGTGACAACACTAAGCATGTATAATATAAAACTTACCAGTAGGGTGGACTGAGACAATGCATAAGAGGGAGGAATGGCACAGTATCCATTCCTCACTAGTAATATTTTTCCTGATGTGATGTTAAGTTTTATATTTTTTGTTTTTATTTTCAGGAAAAATGCCACATAAATTGAAGAAGAAAGATCCAATAAAATCAATGCAACCAATAGTGTGATTCTTCAAGCAACAAACATGGTGTGAAGGAGGGAAATAGTATATGGGAAATTGCAAAGACCTTGAATCTATCAAAGTCAGTACTGACAAGACATGTGAAAAAATAAAATGGTGCTTAAGACAAAGACTCTATAGTAATACAGTCTAACTTCATTTGTGGAATGAGTTTTTCTATGCAGGAGGAATGTTAAAAAAGTTAAAGTTAAAAATTACTTGCTTACTGCAAGTAAAATGCACCATGGTCTTACAACAATGCAGGTAAGAAATTTGGCATATGCCTTTGTTGCTGCTTTAGATAATTAAAAAAAAATATCCTAATTCAAGCAATAAAACTCAGGATATCTTGGAATTTCAATAAAACTACAAGATATGACTGGTTCAAGGGGTTTATGGGGTATCATCTACAGCTTTCAAACAAGTTGTACAAATGACTTCAATGGAATATGGCAAGAAAGTGATTCTTTTTTTGTACTATTAATGCTGTTGGGGAATAGTGTCACTCATGTCTTCATCTAGCCCAGGGGCGGACTAAGGCCTAGGCAACCTAGGCACGTGCCTAGGGCCCGTAATTTTTGGGGCCCCAAAAATTAGGTTTTTAATTTTTTAATTTTAAAAATAGGCCCGGAATTACAATGTTGCCTAGGGCCCGCTTTAGCCTTAGTCCGCCTCTGATCTAGCCTAAAGTACACTATAAGTGTTTCTTCCAGAAAGAAACACCACATGAAAGCTTGGGACTGGCAAGCTAAAGTACATAGGCTGTTCGGAAATCAACCTTGATCCTTTCATTCTGGTATCAAAAATCAAAATAGAGGATGCATATGACTAAGAAGCATAAGCCAATATTGTCAAACAAGAAGTTTATGTCTAGTCTTTTGGGATTATAAGGGAGTGATGCTGAAAAAGTTTATGGAGCTAGGTACAACCATTACTGCAGATACATATTGCAAAATCCTCAAAAAGCTTTCATGAGCAATTCAGAGCAAGAAGCAAGACATGTTGACCTCAGGCATTATTTTGTTTCCAGAACAGTGTATGCCCTCAAAAAGCTGCACACATGAGTTACTCCATCAGTTTCGAAGGAAGATGTTCGACCACCCACCTAAAGCCTGGATCTTGCACCGAGCAGTTATCATTTGTTTGCAAAACTGAAAATTTGGTTGGGGTTGCATCAATTTGACAACAATGAAGAGCTGATGGAAGGTGTTCAGGAGTGACTGATGTCTTTGGTGGCAACCTTCTTCAAGGAAGGTATACAGATGGTATCGCACATGACCAATGTCTGGATTTATACAGCAATTAGGTTGAAAAATAGATTATGTATATGTGCAACTTTTGTGCATAATAAATATAGTCATTTTCCTTTTTTTCTTGGTTTAGTTCATGCCTCTTGAAAGTTGATTTTTGAATAGCCCTCGTAGTTGGACCTATTTGTACCATGTCTTGAATACAACAACAAAATTTACAAAATGATCAATACCCAAAACTGATATTAACTACAAATTAAATACTACACACTGACACCTAAAACCATCAAATACTATAAACTCCAACACTTTACACAAATAAACGTTTTCTTCCATTTAATAAAGTGTTGAAGTTTATTGCTATTTTTGGATGACAGTGTATAGTATTTGTAAAATGTTCTAAAGAAAATCCCAATTTACTTCTTGACAACCATGAGTGTCATAAAAAACATTAATAGATACAGCTTGTGAGAATGGTATCATCATGCTCAGATTCCACCACACTACAGTATAACTATTTGCAGATTGTTGTTCACTATCTTATGTTCTCAGTTACAATTTTAATACGCTGTACTGAATTCTAAATAAATTGGAAAGCAAAACTACTGTTGAATTAAATCGGGCTACTTTATCGCTACTATTAATAAATAATTTGACAGTTGAGGTAGGCGTTATGCGTCATCTCTTATTAAATTTAATAATAAAACTAATTTGTATACTGGCACAATGAAGTGACTTTTCTTCAACACTAGGCAAGTTTCAATCTTTATTCAGTTACTAACTGAATAAAGATTGAAACTTGCCTAGTGTTGAAGAAAAGTCACTTCATTGTGCCAGTATACAATACATAAATACAACACGGTTTCGACAACAACAATAAAACTAATATTAAATAAGTTTAGACAATTAATATGTTTATATCAATACTACTAATATTAATGTCTAAATTAAATATGTCTGGAAGCGAGCGATCGGACGGAGGTTCTGGTAGCATTACTAGCAACGCGTACGGACAGTGAGCGGCATTTATGGATTCGAGTTCCGCTCCGGGCCGATTCTTTTCTTCCAGAATTTTAGAAAATTCTGGAAGAAATTTTATAAAGAATAATATTCAAATATGATCTAAAAATCTATGAAAATTATTGTAGATTTCATTTTTGATATGACGATAATACACGGTATATTTCTATGTCAATATATTAAAAATATGGCGAATTATAGAAATTTAAACTATTAAATATTATATTATTAATAATATTTATAAAGGAAAAAATTTAAACAAAATAAAATGAATAAATTATTCTTTCTTTCAATTTTGTATAAGAGGAAAGTTTATTCCCTACTATTTATTCATATAAATATATTTTTACAAAAGTTTGATGAAAGAATCAATAATAATATATCTCTAGATGAATTAACAATTATAACTTTTAAGTATTCTGTAGAAACGAGTACTATAAAGGCGTAGGCCTACAGCATATTTTATTTTACTTTTTTTATTTTTATTTACGATGCTCAAACGTCATTATTTAGTGTAGATGATCTAAAATGAATTAAACATTAGTTAAAATTTTGAGTTTGTCAACCTGTTAGATTACACAAGTGAGTAAGATCAATCTGATTGCGACTAGATGATTACACCAGTTGAATCGTGGAGTATATAACAGGTACTAATCATGTCATTTTGTGAATCATATGAACTTGTCACGAACAAGATGAAAATCAT